AAAATATAAATAAAATATAACCAATAAGAATATAAGATTTTAACGGCACATGACTTTATGATTTAGTGAAAATCTAAGTCATAACAATACATCTACATCACGGAGTGACAGTGATCTTAGTATGCCCGATGTTGGAGATAGTCAGCCATCTCATATGGAATCTATAAATAAAGAGGAGGTCTGAAAAAGTAATAAATTTTATTGCAGAGCAAGCCATAGACGATTCTCCGAATCATGGTTCTTCGAACCTATCCGAATGTTTGGTTGTATTTTTTGTTATGTGGATAGCGGAGTTAGTATCTTAGACACTTAAAAATTCCGAGTTAAAATCATATGCCTGAAAAATCGATTGCGTAGCACAGTTGTTCGAATAAATTGGAACTTTTCATGCATGATGTAATCGTACGACCTGATGATTTGTGAAAAGTTTTTTCGTTGTACATATCTACATAGTAAATACTGCGTGTAGTGATCACGTGATGATGACGTTTTGAGACTGTGACGATCTTGATGAAAAATAATGTGATTGGTTATTTTTTCTTACCATACCCTCTAAACATGTTGTCGTTAAACCCCTTCAAGTTCGTTCACGACAAAGGTATTGTTCTTTTTTCTTAATAATTTTTTATAATCGATTTCATATCTATATATATACATATATTGATAATACATAGTGCAAGAAAAGAAACTTTGCAAACTTGCAAAAAAGTGTGGTACAGGTGGGTAGCAGTTAAATTATTTTTTGTTGATGTTATAACATTCGGTAGCCACGACCAGTAAACAAATTTAAATCTTTAAGGGGTAAAGATGGTCTTCGGTCCAGTGTTTAAAATTAATCTGTGCTCCCACATACTCTATCTGCGCAAACTTTTCTCATTATACGTATGATATAATATCAATACTTCCTATTGTACCTTTAATATTAACGTTAAAGTATGTGTTTTTTGTTAGCTCCTGAGAATCTCCCTACGATTCTTCAAAATTCAGATATTGTCACTCTTGTTCTCAAATATTTACAAATCAAAGATACCGACGACGAAATGCCCGCACTTTTGTTCGATTGGAATCAGGCCGGCTTCAACGACACCAAAGTTCCAAATTGTCGTAACGGTGTTGCAGGACAGACGCAAGGGGCTATAATCACAAACATCCTTGCAAACGGAGCAACCGATTTTAGGAATCTGAACTTACTATTCATTTTTCGAGATGGTCAAGCAATTGGGGATTGGCACAGTAATGTCGCTGTGAATTTGCCTTGGTATGAGATAATTCTATATTTTATATTCTTTGGCATCAGCTTAATCCATTACCCTTTCTTAAAGGGCGAAACGTCAAGCTGGTGTTCCAGATATCTGTAACAACATCTTAAGACTTAATAAGATTACGGCCCACACAGCCAAAGTCGATGTCGAGAATTTTATAGGTGTCTTGGACTAAAGAAAAAAGAGGAGTAAGTATTTGTTTTGTTACTTTTTCTAAATTATTATGGTTAATTTATCCCTTCAAACTGATACAAAAGAATATCCGGTCTCCTTCATTGAGTTGTGCCAAAAATTGAATGAATCAATCATCCTTGCAAGATTTTACGCTTCGTGAGCACTTTGTGTCCAATATAATAACATCGGGTGCATTTTGTGTACATGTTGTGTGATCCCGATATATATGAAAAAATAAATTGTGCTGTTAGCATTTTCGTGTAAATGCACTTACTTGGGCTCAAACTCGATATCTAGGGTGCTTTGCGTATTACTCGTCATCATGATTGCTTGCCTTTAAATCGACACCACGACCCAAGGCATTTTGAAAATTTTTTTCTTGGCCAAAGTGATCGGCGTTATAAATTGTAACGCCACACGTGATTTTTAACTTGATAATTTAAATAAATCTGCACTTATATAAAAGTTATTAACAAACATGTCATCAGAGCTTGAATCTCAATCTGCTCAATCAAAAATCGATTCGTTGCAAGAATTAAATTCTCAACTCAGTGCCACGATTGCTGAGCTTAGAAGGGAGAATGCTGAGGTCAAGACCGAGAATACAAAATTAAAACAAGCTATAAAAGCAAATGCTGAACTCAAAACCAGATTCGAGGAGCTAGAAAAGAAAAATAAAATAGACACCAGTAATCTCATTTCTGAAAATGCTGAGCTCAGAAACAGAGTCACGAAATTGGAACAGAAGCAAACACAAACTGATAGCGTACATGTATTAGAAGATTCTATTCTCCACGAAACAACATCTGATATTTCTTCCAATATTTATACATACTTATTTGAGCCTAAATCATCGGAAAATAAAGAGATCGATGAGTTTCTGGATTTTAAAAGTAAGAAAAGAGTTAGTAGCGAGATAAAACAACGCAATAGGGACAAGAAGCTTCGAGATCAAGACCTATCCTTGGTTAGCCATAAGAAAAAGAGAACAGATAAACTCTGGCAAGAATTATTCAATACTTCTTTAGAGCTGAGTTCACAATATCACTCTATATCAAAAAATATTAAACCAGGACAGATCAAAATTTCCGAGACGGCCCGTTCTGAAAAATTTGAGGGCATTGATGATTCTGCGAAGTGTATTGTTAATTTATTCGACATTAATGGGTATCATAACATTTAGCTCAGTTGTGCGATACAGCCATAGGCGCAAAAGATTGAGCTTCAAAGGCTAATCAGGAAGAAATCATGTGCTGGTCTCTTTATGGTAAGAATTTTGAATTTCAAGTTGGTGAAATGAGTAGTAAAAATAAAATTGGCGAGAATCTTAATTTATAATGAAATTAAAAATCAACTCTGTATTCTTTATAAAAAACAATCACAAGATTTGGGCTTACAAGTTCCAAATATATCACAAGATACCTTGCGTAAAAAAACTCAAAGAGCTGTAAAAATTTATAAGTTATTCGAAAAGATAAAATTAAATATATTAAGAACTATAGTGCAAATTCTATCTCAGAACTTACTAATGATCAAATTTAAGAAATTATTAATCATGGTTCAGAGAGCCAAATCTCTAATTCTCCTTTGCTTGAAATCACATCTGAAGTATTTTCTGAAGATAATATAATTGAAATTTTCGGGACGGTCCATCTCGAAAAGACTTTATTAGAAACTGAGATAAATGTACCATCTGCATCACGACTAAAGATGGCGTGGTAACTGTTGCAACGTGGTGACAAATAAAGCATCACCTAGTTGCAACTAGTTGCGGCTTATAAAATTTTGGAGTTGCAACGTGTTGCAACAGGTGACAAATAAGCGTCACGTACTTGCTGCGCCATCTCTAATCACGACCCAAGAAAGATTTACCAAAAGCAGAGGTAAATGTGCCATTCAAATCTCAAACTGAATCAAAAATCTTATTTGAAAAACAGAATAATCTGATCCATAACCATACTATTTTCCGCAATAAAGCATTAGAACAATATCCTGATCTATATTATGAATTCAGTAGTGAAAATATTGATTATTACGGAATTACTGCTGAGATATTATGTCCTTTATGCAAGTTAGACCATGATGATGAGGAAGATGTAGAAGGTAAATATGAAACTGGATCATACTATATTAAATATGAATAGCACAAAATTCAAATTACTGCATAAATCCCACCAATTTATTACTCTTATTGTCAGTGGAGTATATAGCGGAGTTAGTGTCTTTAACACATATAGTATTGCAATTAACGTACACTTGGAGACGCATTAAAAAAACTCGTCAACTGGACACGGACTTGTGAGTGATCAGAAAATAATATTTTTTAGTATGTGATATCCAATGCGAGAAATTAAATTGCTTTGAAATTATATAAATGATAACATAGATACACAAGTCAAGTCTGATGAGCTACTAACCCCCGAATATCTAAATTGGTATTCCAAATTAACTGATTTGCCAACAACTATATCTGATAAACTTCGTTCCAAGTTATATAAAATATATAAGAAAAAAATAGGACTCGATCCCTGGATAAAGTCTGAAATCTTTGAATCCTCACAAATCAAAAAGGATGCCAGCAATCATCTTTCACGAGACTATATCATCAAAATTTCTAAGTTTTCAGAAGAAAAAAGTATAATTTATGAAACAGTACATAAACGTTTCCCTTTCTTGTCTTACACTAATTTGAATGCATGACATCGAGATATATTTAAATATACTGATTCAGAAGCTAAATGTCCTGTATGTAAAGAGATACATACACGTCGAGGTATATGGGGCGATTGAAGCTGTCTCAGTAAAAATGACCACTATTTTCTTAATTGCCCTTTTTGTATCAATCAAAAGAAAGTTATTATTGCTATACAGAGTTTGCTGAAAACTCAAGTAAAGGTATCAAACAAAATCAGTAACTCACCAATTCATCCAAACAAAACCCATCTTTATCAGCCAGAGGCTGGCTTATGCCAATATACCATTGAACATAAAATGGATCCTGAGAAATTTTCGATCATTACTGAAGCTGAGAAAAATAGGTGGGTCGTGGGATGTTTTCCTGCTGACTTGGAAAGAGATATATGCCTTTATCATGGAGGAATAAAAAGGAACGAAGATACAAGAAAATATCATAAATTTTTAACAGATCAGGATAGGATGGTCGGTGAAGAGTTATTACGTTGTGGTTTACTAAAAAGCAATTTAAGTACTGCATGGCTAGACGATCTGATAAAAAATGGGAAGAAATCTATACTCAATTCATACAAATTTTTAGTCAGACATAGCTAGATCCAGAGGTCTCTTACACACCTCGGATGATGATTATTTATTTGATACAGTAGGCAATTACGTATGTTACATGAACTTCTATATCGATCACACTCATGATAATTTTCTGATTTAACGATTACTTCATTCTAATTGGCTTATTTTTACGATGTTTTCAGATAGCCTTTTTCTTTTTAATATGAACACGATTCTTTCAGGATTTTATTGGATCGAGATCATACCAGTCTGAACCTGTGGATTCTGAATCAGAGCTGGATGAATTAGTCTCTGTCTCAGATTTTATCCATGATAGCTTTGCATTATTTATACAACTTAGTTCATATTCAATAATACAAAGTTTTTCAAAAATTCTATACTCTATATCATTTTCTATAGAATGAACCAATTTCCAAATATTATTGAGATGTATTTTGATTGAAAGATTTCCACCTCCATCACCTAAATCTACTTTAGGATATTTCTTATTCTTGGTAGCTCCACTATTTTTGGAAACATCATCATCCAATTTCCTGGGTGTTGGAGATACATGAGGTTTGTTATGAAATATTCCATGACGTTTCTTTCGGTGCATATTATCTTCGCTTCTAAGAGATAATTTCTTAATGATATTTGTGATCTTCTCCATTGATAAATCGGACTTATGTGGGTCATTTTTATCAGAGCTGGTCTTATTTTCTTCGATTAATGGGATACTCATATCATCTATTATTGCAAAGCAATGATCCTTTGGATCTATAATTTTAGCGTGGCGGATATAGGTTTTGGGAGAATGTTCAAAGCTTATTTTTGCTTCATGCATCCATAACCAATCTTGTTTTAACACTAGATCGAACGATGAATTTTTGCAAATTTGGAAGTCTATTACTTCAGTACAATCTAAACTTCGCCACTTTCCTTTATAGCGAAACTGCAAATCTAAGTATTTTATTTCACCTATTATGTTCTCATAGAGATTCTCAACAGGATCACGTATTCCATAATCTTCTTCAAGCTTATCGAACAAGCTCTTGCTAATAGTATTGTATTTAGATGTTGAATCAATTAATACTTTTACTGGAATTTTCCCTTCGACAAGTATACTAATGTGCATGTTAAATATTATTTAATGATATATACTATAATCGAAAAATAATTATAATTTATTGTGAATTTTATTATGTATTAATATAATAAATAATAGCAAAGCTAGTATCAAGATACATATTACGATATGATATTGACAATGAATAAAGCTACATCAGATAATAATCATGAATTTCAAAATTGTAATAGTGTGATATCTCGCATTATTAAACAAGTGTCAAATAAAAAAATTCAGATTTCCTTCCACCAATTACTGAAGATAGCGAAACCTGAAATTCAGCAAGATATTATACTCAATAACAAATCCAGATATTTCTCGAAGAAATCGACACCATCTGAGGCTAAAAGAAAAAGGAGATTTTTAAATGATACAGCATCTGAGTTCTTATCCTCATCTAGCTCTAAATCATCATCTGAGTCTGACTTTGGATCGTTTAATGATGATAAAGATTTTACTGTAAATATGATAAAAGTGAAGAAGCGTAATTAGTTATCATAAATTTGGAATGGTCTTGCTTGCTCATAAGGAACCCCCCTGGACCTATAATTCACTACAACATAATTTTGAATCAGAGAAGTATGGTTATCAGGATTGTGTCGTAAATATTATCTAGCTATTGTCATAAAATGTACTGGATTTTTAGCATGTACTACTGCACCATAAACTACCTCCAATTTACGTAAGTATTTAGGAATTAAATCATAATTTTTTGAGAATCTATTGAATCATTTAACCCTTGGTTTACCTGGATTACCCATTTGATCAGAATATATAACATTCTGTATCCAAGTGAGTAAATCTCGGACTCTTTCTCGATCCTTCTCCATAGATCTAAATTTTCTAGGAATATCTGGTTGTCCCCTGTTCTTTGCATAACCTGTTACTCCAGCATCTGTAATACGTAAAGTTATAAGTTCAGCAGGGCGAATACAAAGCATTATCATAACATCTGCGAGAGCCTGTAAGTCGGATAAAGTAGATGTATCATAACTATTCAACCTCTCTTTGACTGATTCTAATGTAAAATGATCCGAATAGTCAATACAATTAGCTTTAGCTTTTTTCTGATTATCCCTCTGGATTTTGTTAGCCTCTTCTGTAATATCTGGAAATTTCGTGGTCTCGACTATTGCGGGTAAAGCACCAAGATTTCTTAATTCTCTTCTGAGATGGAAAAGACGTGATAAACCAGCATTAGCATTTTTTGCTGATAGGGATAAGGCATAAGCTTTGGCTCTTACATCTCTAATGCTAAGTTTATCCTGTAAAATCCGTTGCGCCATATCTCCGATAGTTTCTTCCTCCATCCCTTTAGAGAGTTTATTAGCGATCACAATATTTAAGGTTTGGCCAGAAGTACTTTCACATTGTTCGTTTTCCTGGGTAGAGAATAAGGTATTCACTTGATCCTCACTAAACTCATATCTATTCTGTAAGATTCGTTTTGCTTTCTCTCTGACGATCTCTTCTTCCAAACTTTTTGGAGGCTTGATTATAGCTATTCTATTGCAAAGCAATGACCCTTCGGGTCTACAATTACCTTCAACCAAATTTATAGTTTTATTTTTTCCACTTCTCTGATTAGGTATCAATATACTTACCTGCTCATTGCTAAATTTAAAACCATCCCGAAGACGTCGTCAAGCTTGATTTCGCTTTCTATCATCAGTAAGGTTTTCAAGAAATTCTGAAGTATATTTACTGAGATCGGACACACTCATTTTGGGGTTGAGATTGTAGTTTCCAACAATTTTAGTTACGATAGCTAACATGTTTGAATATTATAGTAGGTTGAGTAGGTTATGAGCAATTCTTTAGGTTGTATACACTATAGAAAATATTTTTTCAAATCGAAATTAATTATCCGTGGATTAGTATAGCTATACCAAAAATTGAATGGGTCGTGGTTAATGTAATTATACCAGAAAATGGATACGAGTAAGGTACAGAATAGATCGAAGGTTTTAGAATCCATAGCTTTACGTAATAAAATTAATGAGAATATTAATGGGGTCAAAGAAGACATAGCATTGCTCAAAGAGGTTCTCGAGAAAATAATCAATCTATGTCAGGTACATGATACATGTCAATACCTTGGATCAGATCTGTCGATTTGAAATTTACTGTTACATAGAATATAACGAAAAAGATTTATAGCTTTGGAGTTGCGATCCAGGTTATATTAATCGATTTATTTTTCTAATGTTTATTCCTCACGAATTGGAGGGATTAATAGTCTTTCCTCTTTCCAATGTATATATCCATCGCATAACAATCTATTATATATCGACCCATCGATTGCAATTATACAATTCGTTTTGGGGTTATATATTTTTGGCTTTCTTGAATGCTTAGCCAATTTGAATAGCTCATCTGAGATTATTATTTCTTTGTTGTACTCTGGTTCTTTGGTATACATGATAAGTATATATATATGTATATGTAGTAAATTTGATTAAGTAATAATAGGAATATATTTCTACTAAAATCATTTGAAATATTTAAATAGATTTTTTTATCAGAATTACCCATTTATACCAAGCATCTATTTTAGAATAATTCATATTAAAAGTGAAAAGCTTTTTAGTTATATTATATCTCAAAATTCTTATTCATGAAACGTGTAACTTGCAAACATATTAAGAGAGATGGATCAGTTTGTGGGAAAGTCTGCACTCATATTACAGGCTGTGCTAAACACTGGAGTTTATATAAGAAAAACATAGCAAAAACTCCCTGTAGGATATACAATAAACTTACACTATCTTATACTGGCTATTGTGCGAAACACGCTAAAAGAGTTTATTTCAATAACTGATACGAGAAACAAAAAGCATGTATAGTGGAAGCAGATACGTAATTATGTTCATTGTGTAGTTATAGTTATTAATTTTAAGCGTCACAAAAAGGTCTATTGATAGGATATTTTTTACAAGTATTATTTTTAAACATCACAAAAACTAGTATATATTGGATATCAGAATTTGTGTAATGCACGAAGTGCACTTTCTATGAAAGATATTTTTATCTGAAAATTTTATATTAACTAGTTTGTAGAGACAAAAAAGCCCCCTTCATTGGATGTCTCTACCCACAAAACTCACCCTTATCGACTAAGCAATTACCATAACATACCATTTTCCTGGAGTATGTTAACCGTTTTTTTCCACTCCTCGTTGGTATCGAGCCATGATGAGGTGATTCCTTTATCCTCAAGACTACGTCGAATTATTTCTTCCCCTATTAATCTTTCACGTACCGTCATATCCATATATTCATTGGGATCTTCTTCGGCTTCCTTGGCGTAGCTACATATTCTAGCATCAGTCTGCATCTTATCCTTATATGATATCGAAGCAAGCTTATCCTTTTCAGTTATGATCACAAATTTATCTGGATCCTCATTGTGGTCGACTGCTCATTTTCTTAAATGAGCCTCTCGTTGCTCCCTGGCTGGATATGTGGAAGATGATGTTTCCGGTTGGGGCGTAGCTTCTTCATTTTTGGATTTGGGTTCATCATTTGTTGGTATGTTGGGAGAGATCTCGGGCTCATCATTCATAGATCCAGCATTGACAATCTCAGGAGTTTCAAGTTCATTGTTTAAAGGTTTTATATTCACGATCTCAGAAGACAGAGATATGTTGGTAGACCCAGATGATGAAGCAACTGAATATTCTGGTTGATCTATTATTGAATCGAAGAGATTCTGGATCATGTTAGTGGAGCTAGTGTCTCGACACTTAGAAATAGAAGCAGGTGATATATCCTTACCTTTTTTGATGCGATCAGTGGTCGATGTTTCAGCTGTATTTTTTTCTAGTTAAGGGAGTGCGATTTCAGGTACATTGAATACAGGGATATTTGTAGAAGCATTGGTAGATGTCTCAGCTTGAGGTACGTCAGAAAATTCTTC